GAGATGTGTTTTCTCTCTTAAATCATTGCTATCCCTTTGCATGCCCTAATTACTTTTCCATAAGTGCCTCTTTTTAAAGATGTCTAAGTGCTTTGATTTTTTTACATTATCCCCTCTTGCCTGTTTGTTCTTACTGCATGGCATGCTCCAGGCATTTTACCTATATGAAATGGGAGGGGAAAAAAAAATGCTAATGCTAATGGGAACTCAGCTCTTCAAAGCTGAGAAGAGCCCCCTTCATTTCCAAGTGGATAACCCAGAGAACCATCAGCTTTTTGTGCATGTGTGTGTGTTTCCATCGTCATTCCAGTGACTATGATTTCATAATCCACTTGAATTACAGAAAAACTTTACTTACAGCACAACGATGAAAAGGCGAGGGCTTAAACTTTTTTCTGTAATTAGGCTTCTTACTGTAGGTACCCTCAAATCCCTCCCCCCTCAGCTTCCTTGGGAGCCCAGGATTCAGCCTAACTGAATCACATGTGAACTGGATATCAGAAGCTGAAAATTTCAATGCCCTCTGCACAGACAAGGTGTTTTGAAATTTATGACTATGCATACTGTGGTACCAGTCAGTGGGCTAGAAACAGTTCACTTGGGTGACTGTTGCCACTCAAAATTATTCAGACATAGAATCACAGAATAACTTCAGTTGGAAGGGGCTTCTCAAGGTCTGCCTGGTCCAACCCGCTCAAAGTAGGGCCAACTTCAGGTTCGATCTGGTTGCTCATGACCTTGTCCCGTCAAGTTTTCAGCACTTCCAAGGATGAGGATTCCACAACCTCTCTAGGCAACTTATTCTAATGCTTGATCACCCTCACAGCGAAAGTCTTTTTCCCCTTACATCTAATTGGAATTTCCCTTTTTGAAACTTGTGTCTGTTGCCTCTCTATTACTGGTGCATATCTCAGAAAAGTCTGCCTCTGCCCTCTCTAAAGTCCCCCATTACGTAGCTGAAGACAGTAAGATCCCCCTTTTGCCTTCTCTTATGACTGAACAAACCCAGCGCTCTCAGCCTCTCCTCCACGTACACCAGCTCCCTAACCATCCTGGTGGTCTTTTGCTGGACTTATTCCAGTATTGCAGTGTCCTTCTGCTAAAGCCAAAAAGGCAAATGCTATTTGAGATGTTTTTGCACCCTAATTCAAAAAAAGCCAGATTTGATTTTAAAAATCATTAAGTAATAAAATCAAGCCTCATGTTAGTAAAATAAATTAGAATGGATAAAACTAGATTTTAAAAAATTGGTCACAGTGTGAAGAGTATTTGCAGCAAAAAAATTTTCTAAAATGTATGATGATGTGATTCCAATCAAGATTAAAAAAATTCTAGAGTGGCTTCGACTTTTAACTGATTTTTTTGCTACTAATTTTCTGATATTCAGGATGTAACTTCTTTAAAGACGGGCCTAACTCTCTTGCCAATATTTACATGACTGTCAAAATTTTGGACACCAAATCTTTTTAAAGGGTAAGCCCTAACTAAATATATTATTAATTTTAAGCACTGATTTTTTTTTGATTTTTTAAAATTGCTAGGGGATGATGTTTTACTTGACAAAGCATCAGTTCTCAGTACGCTTGAAAAAGTACTGCTGAGTCTGAGAGAGGGCCACACCCTGAAGCACGCACTGCTCAGAGCTATCAGAGCGCTGTGCATGGTTGGCATAACACGGATGGCATAACTTTTTAACTTGTTTCCAAAGTATAGTATAGTTGTGTGCATTTTGTTTAAAAAGTTGTGTCTGGAGAGCAGCCAAAGTGCTCTTTGGTTTTATCATGAAACGTATAATTCTCCCTAAGAATCTGACTCAAAATGGGGAACACTGGGTGACCTTTCTTTGGAGATATTACAATGGTACTACTGAATTGACATTTTCAGTTATTTGTAAGTTTTCAACTTTCTGTTCTTCAGTACATTTTTACGTTTTCAGTGGAAGAAAAATCACTTTCCAACTGGCTCTAGTAGTTTCTTACTTCCACAGCACTTCAGTGCGTGCAAAAATTTACATCAGAATAAGACGACTTGATCTTTCCCTCCCCAAGTTACTATTGATGTAGTACTCACAGCTACTGTGATCCACACTGCACTGCTCTGCTTCCTGAAATAAAGATTACACCAGGAATCTAGTACTTCACAGGCAGGGATTTTAGGAATCAGAGAATAATGAACAGAAAGACATGATGAGGTAACCTTAACTCTTTGTCATTCCCTAAAACTTTCAGTAGATTATTAAAAGCGTTAAATAATTGACGCAAGCCTCGTTTTATTATTTGCGTCTGTCTAACGTTTAGAACTAAGATTTCTGTGAACGCTTTTAAGCCACGTTTGCAGATTGTAATACTTGGCTTTCACATAGGCCTACAGGTATTCTGCATATAACATACAAAGACAAGACGGAAGTGTGTTTTGCACATGTATAATGTATCTTTACCCAATATACTATTACAGGGCTCCATAGTCTGTCTTTTTATTCTTATGTCACTGCGCAAGTATATTTTGAGATTTGCTTGCAAATAAAACAAAACAAAACAAAAAACTGAACAGTTGGTATCTTTTCAACTGTATGTCTTTCACAGCCTTTACCTTGTCTTTCCAAGTCAGTCATAGTTTTGTTTCAAAAATGACCAAACATGGGAAGCATTTCCCCATCTTTTGATTTGAACACAGTAACATCTATCTCCCCTCCATCCCAACACACTGAGTGCAACTGCAATGAGCACAGCAATTTCTATTTAATGCCTCTGAGGCCGTGAAAACAGTAACAGGGAACAGAAGAGCCATCTACAGCTGTAGAAGGTATGCAGAAATAATTATTGTTCCGTACCCGTACCGTTAACATCTGCAATATTTCAAGCGATTCCTTCTCAGGTTACATACCACAATATGTTACTCATATTTCTTTCTCTTCAAAAAATCATAACTAATATTTTTGTGAAGATTCTGAGTTGTTTTCTTCCTTTCACCTTCACAGACTTTTAAATTATCTAACTACAGTTGCAAGAGAGCTTTTTCCATTCTTAGGTCAGTAAACCTCTACCTTCTTAATTGCATTAAGCTATAGAGTTCACATTTTCCAATTTTTCTGCTTTTCTGGTCAGCTGCCTGGAAGTAGCCAGAAAACTTTTCCACTTGCTGCTAAAAGATACACATATATTTTGCTGCTTTGAAGGACTTCCACTGCTGTCAAAATGTATTTGCCTTGGAAGCCAACCAGTTTCATCTTACCATGCTGTCAAATGTGAGCTCATCTCAGTCACAAATCTTAATCCCTCTTCTCTTGTTTTATGGAAGCCTGCTAAAATTACAGCTTTTACATAAAGTCTGATACAGTAATTAAGAACATCCTCACAGGTTTCTACTGCCTGTACATTAGGAAAATATATATTTTTTTTGAATAGCCTCAAACCAATTCTCAATATTAGCCACTTAGTGAACATTGAAGATTGTTCTACCGTACAAAAATCATATCTACAGTACCTTACATTTTGAATTTAACTTTCCATATAACTGATAGGTACAGCAATCGCCTCTGTAAAAAAGATTTGCACTCTGGACTTTGTAAAATTAAGGAAAACTATAAGGCTTGTCATTCCACTACATCTCATTTTCAAGTAACACTTTTTGTCTTCGTTCTGTTTTTACAGTCACTAGCAAGGCATCTGAAAGTTATGCAATACAACAGGCTCTAAAACCACCAAGGGCCTCCTAACACAAGATGGAAATTACTCATTACGTAAATAAGCTTCATACACTGACCTTAAATCCACAGTATTTTGGGTGGGGTGGGGTGGGGGTGGGGGGGATCAGCAGTGATGCAGTAGTTGGCACTGTGCTTAGGAAAGTACAAGAACTATCAAAAACAAAAGGGCTCCCATCATACAGGAAAGCAGAGACACAACAGACAATACAATCCTTTTAATATTCCATATTGCAAGGCTCCTAACAACGTAACTTCTCCTCTGCACAAAGTTAATGTTATTTTCTGCCCCTTGTCCTCTCATTTTCCAGCTCTTAACTGCAGTGGTTGCTTCAAACTGTGCCAGTCTCTCCTGGCCTGCAGAGGCCACCAGAGCAGCAAGGGATAGCCTGCAGGGAGGAAGCCCTGCGGTGCCAGCAGCCCTGCTGCAGAGCCTCTGGCCAGCCGGGATTCCCTTGGAGGCTGGAGGTGCCAAGGGGCTGGAACAAGCAGGCTTTGAATGACTCTGTGCCGACGGTTCAAGGCCAAGCTTCCAATACTAGTAATAACTCAGCTATGTACTACAACCTGTATCTGTTACTCTGCACAGTTGAGAAATAAAACATTATAGTAAATGATTAAGTAGGAAAACAGAAAAAGGAAATGAGACGTTTACCTCAACACAGTCATATTAACAGTCAGGCTCTGAATTTTTGTAAGATAATCAGTGCAATGTTAAAGTTACACTCAGAAGTCCTAAACTATCCAGTTCTATGGGGCTGAAAGGAAGAAAAAAGCAGCAACAAAAGGAAATTGCCAATACCTAGAGAGATCCACATTTGAAAAGCTTGCCTCAAGCACCCTTTGAAGTTTATGCTTCACTGTCACAAGCAGGAGGATAAGGGGTTAATCCTTATTTTCAAAGTTTCTTTAAGATGGAGAGAGTTTCTTGAGGGGCTCAGGATGTCTTTATCGTCGGCAGTGGGGAGTCATGCTATCTTAGTAGGAATATTGTCTCAAGGTAACGTTTTTTTTCGTTTGATTTGGGCCAGTAAGATGTCTTTAAAAAGGGAATTATGGTTGACTGATTTTGCCTAAGAGTCTTAAAGAAGTAGTTGGCAAGTTTTTTCTTTTAAACTCCCCTCAAAAAAATCACTCCAAACACCTCTCAAAAGAGGGCTGAGAGGGAAAGCACCAGAGAATTTCCATCTGCTGGAACATGTTCTTTAAAAAAAAAAAAAAAAAAAGCTGACTCTGGTCTTGTATGCCATTCTTTAAATACATCATTCATAACGGGAATAAAATGTAGACAGTGTACCTCTTTTCTGGCTTGGTGTGATGCCTCTGGGACTGAGAATGCCGGCTGCCTCTTAATGCTCCTCTGCTCAGATGGCTGTTATTACGGCCTCCTGAAGAAACAGGAGCCAGGAGGCCAGCCCAAAGCTGTTCCTCATTTCTGTGAAGTGGCACAGATGTACGGATGGCAGAAATGACATGGCCAGGATAAGCAGTCAGTGGGTCTTCACGATGGCGTGAATTCTGATGAGCAAGAGTTCTCTCTGAGGCTGGGTACTGTCGCCCTGGCCTTCGGTAGCCCCTTTCGTGGTAATAGGCTGGGAGGCAGGGCCGTGTTTGCTCCATCACACCACCGCTGCAGCTCCGGGAACAGGCAGACCAGGGGCCCCAACTTCCCCACATGCCTGGGATTCCTGCACTGCTATCTTCAGATGCATCTCTCTGCTCCTCTATCCTCTGGGGAACCTGTAGACATAGCAGACTGAATTAGGAACCGGAATTCACACTGTAATACAAAGACAGTACTAATATCCTTTGTACGCCATTCTCTCTCCGTTTCACTGGCTGTGACTGCAGCTATGCAGGCAGTGATTTCTCTTACTCATTCCCTGCCAAATGGCTGTCTACTCTGCTAGTATATGAGAGTCTCCTAGAACCATCAGCCCTTCAGACCAAAATCTGGTTTTGGACTATCTAGAGAGGAAAAGATTTCCTCAGCAATGGAAAACACTGCTCAATGCAAAACTTTAAAATGTTGAGATGGAAAACTATTATTTCAAACACATTTAGGAGGTAAAGTCATTTTTAATGACAACTTAGGTCAAGAGACACCAGCCACTCTCTTCCACTCCAATGCCTGAACAATGGAAACTGCTTGTGGCAGTCTAGTTGCAAAAAATATTTCAGGAACTCCCAGGTAAGGTGGAACTTTTTAGGAAAACAAAAGTATAAGAGGATAGGCTAATTTCCAATGAGCCTAAAATACTGCAATAGTTAACTCCTATGCTATCACTGGGTTTTTTTTTTTTTGCCTATTAATGCTCTTCCAAAAATACTTCAAGGGAAGAACTATTAGAGATGACACGCCCAATTCTACACTCATGGAAATCACTATTAAATTCATTAACAGTAAGATAGGGTAAATTGTTAGTCTTGCATATTCAATGCTACTTAGTCCAGACTCATCATTTAACGGGACAAGGAAAGGGAAAGAAAGAATAGCCCCGAAGGTGCTCTTGATACAGTTAGAAGGGAGTAGAAAGGGCAGGAACTCACGCTGTAAGGAGAGTCAACCCTTCAAACAGCGGCCACATATTTAAACATCCTGACTTTGTAGCTGGCAGTAATAACACAGGCTGGAAGCTCCAGCCACTCATCCCCATCTCCTGTGGACTGCTGCCCTAAGCTCCAGCCATTTCTGGAGCTGGCTGTAGCCAGGATTTCGCAGCATTTCACACTGGGCAGAGCGCTTGAATTCGCAGCATAAAAACATGAGCCACTTTCATTAAACGTATAGTTCCTCTGTTGTTTCGTTTCTCCAACTGGATGAATCATAAGTCAAAGCAGGCTTCTAATGCCCAATTCTCACGGCTATTAACATGCGGAGCATTCTTTTAAATGAACATCCTTTAACAGTTTCATGAAATTATACTCTGAATAACCTTTCTATCAACAGGCACACATACATATCATCTCAACTATGAGATAAAAAGGGATTAAGTAAGATTAAATCCACAACCATTTGCTTACCATACCTGTCCAGCCCTACTCTAGTGTGTAGCTGCTTCAAACCGAGCTCTGGAAAGACAGCCTTGTCTCCCTGTATACCACTTCTCCCCCCTCCAAAGGGTGGTCTCCTAAACAGATAACTGTCATGAATAGTTTTGCCCCAAACATTAACAGTCAGGGAAGACCGACATCTGCATACTTTGCCTCTAGCCACAGATTACATGAGCAGTCACCAGCTGAACTGCAAACCACCTCAACCAGTGAGCACACACCATTGATCAGCCAGCTACAAACATTAGGAGGTTTTGCTGGAACGTGGTTTGCAAACACGGGTTGAATACACCGTTACAGTATGAAAATCCAAGCCAGTGCAGGGTTTGTGGTGTTGCTCTGTAATAGTCAGTTGTGGTCTACGTAATCTGAAACATTTCCCCCCTCTGAGGTTGCTTTCACTCTTTCATCACCACCCACAAAAAAAAAAAAACCTGTGTTTAATTATAACTAGTGAATAATAAAAAACATCTGTATTAGTGTGATACGTTCCGAATTTCTGCAATGTTATTTCATAAACAGGAGCAGATGTCTCTGTGTTCAATATGCCCTTTTTCTGTGGGTAGCCAGTTTGGCAATAGCCTTTTAAATTCAATAGCCTGTACAACTTAATAACCACATAATGTCAAAATTATGAATAATATGCAAGGCATTGGTTTCTGGCTGTTACATTTGCATTCATATCCAATAACGGAACACCACTGGCTCACAATGAGCTCACCAAATAAATGACCTGTTCTTCAGTTTGTAATTTTTTAGTGAATATGCACTGTTCATACTTAAATTGTAGGTTAATCTCTACCACAGATATAAAATGATAACTGTTATACTAAAATATTCATTTATTATGTTTCTTCTGGTCTGACATCAGTTTGCAGTAAAATTTACTTGTCATAAAACTCTAAGTCCATTGTTATCAGCAAGATCAGGTGTCGTTTTTCCAGACTTTTTCATAATCATTTCTATGATGGTTTGGTGTACTTTTATTTATTTATTTATTTATTTATTTAAAGTCAAAGGCATTCATGCAGGCAACAACTGAACATCTATTAGTCTGCCAGCAACTGAAATCACTACTGAAATAAGAACTGTCTCCTTATGTAGAAACAGGTATAATAGTGACGAGTGTCAGCCTGCTGTAGAGAGAGCCTCCTGGCCATCAAACTTTCAATGTACCAAGAACTGTTTTAGACAAAATAATACTTTTAATGACTGAAGGCAATGTGAAGCCATTTCACACACCTTGATCTTCACAACAAAATACTTCTAGACATAGTATAGCATGGTTTAATCTAGCTATTCAAATCAGAACACAAAAATAAAACGAACAAAAAAGTAACAATATAATGTCTCATACTGGTGTTCAAATTCATTAATGTTAGTTAGATGCCAGATGATGAAATTGAGATAAGGAGATTTTCAGTAGCAAACGTAACCCAGGTTATGCACTTTTTTAATTTAAATCTCAGCTTTGGCGCTTTAAGTTATGGGCCACAGAAGAATCTTTAGAAGAAAATAAGTGGTCAATAGCACAACCTATCAGTAAAACCTCCTGAGAAAGACTGAATAAGTGGAAGCTATTTAGATTAAAGAAGAGAAAATATACTGGGCACTGAGACTCAAATGAAATGCAAGGGGAAGGGAAAAGAGAGGAAGGGGAAAAATAGACACACACACACACACACACTTCACTCTCTCTTTGCAGCAAGCTGTTCTCCATATTTACAGCAAATACAACACAGAACAGTAGATTTATGTTTCAGGTAAGGTGATCAAAATCAGATAGTAGGAGAAACGACTTAGCAGAAAGACAAGCGAAGCATGGGAATAGATCACCCGAGGAGATTCTGGAACCCCCATCAGAGAAGGTGGATAGGGAACATCCATCAGGAACCGCTAAGGTATAACTGATCCTTCCCTGAGGCAGAAGAGGTGAACTATAGGACCCAAAGGTCACTTCCAGTCCTCTGGTTCTAAGATTTTCAAGTTACTTTGTAGCCTTTAATTAATTCTCACACAGCCCTAGGATATAACTAGGGACTTCCCCATAGTTAAGGGGACAACAGACGCATTCCAAAATACTCATGGTTGCAAACAAGCTACCTCAGAAGAACCACATATTCAGAGATTGCCAACCCTAGGTCACTCCTACTCTCCCTTTAAAACTTATTCCTTAAGTAGCACAGTATCTACAGGGAAGAGTTTGAGTCTGCGCTTGCGAATAAGTGAAATACATACTTAATTTTCCTTGCTAAGTTAAATCATGGAAGTAATTCCTGTCATAGACCCTCACAGCTGGCAAAAGGGGAGAGCTCAATTAAGACATTTAGCCTACTTTCCCCACAGTTCATAATTGATTGCTCCTGCAGGTGACCTAGTAATAATCATTCTAACTATAAATACACCATCAAAAAGGCTTCTATCTCCTGCAAGTTAATCAGGAATCAAGTATCTTGCTCTACAAATTCAATCTAATTTTTTCCTCTTAATTTCATCCCAAAATTCTAGTCCGTCCTTTCTTTCATGTAGGTTTTTACAAATATTTGGTAGAACAAGAATTGTAAGTAGAAGCAATACCTTTGCTAGATACAGCTATAGAGTAAACTAGTATGGTAGGAAAAGTTAAGACAAGCTTTCAGGTGTGCAAACACTTGTAGTTCCTACCTCTGTACTAGCCTCTCGGAAGAGGCTACAAAGATTCTCTAATTTGTGAATTTTCTTTCTAATGACTGTTACGCACTGATTAACTTCCATTCTTTTCGGCAGTAAGCAGCAAGCTGAACTGAGGCTAAATTTTTTGAAAGGGTATTTGCAAGGCCATTTTTTCCCCTTTATATATCAGCACTACGCACCTTTTTGCGTTTTTTTTTCCTCCAGTTTTCTTGTATTTTGCTAGTTTCTATTTACTTACACTTGTATGATAACTCTCTGTATCACAATATACCCATTTGCCACCTATTTCAGATGACTGCCCATCTATCACCATGCTGTACTAAATGCCTCTTTATTGTTCTGTTTCCTGCAAGTGAGAACATGCCATCTTATAGCAGGCAGAGTACAGCTGTGAGTTATTTCAAAAACAATAGTAAATTCTCATGTTTTCTTCAAGATATGGCTACTACAAGTTGGGGTCCTCATCTGTAATAGCCTTCAGAAGAGTAGAAGTTCATCTTTTCTTATTCACCGCTGCTGCCCTGATGTCATTAGCAAGCTGCCTCTCGTACAACCAGGAGAACACAGAAATGGGCTGAGAGTGAACTGACATTCTGCTAAGTCATTTACAGTCTAGAACAATGTGGAAGATTTGGAAAAGGAAATGGAAAACCCTGAAGATACTGACAAATTGTTTTTAACCAAACTGAATACAGTAGCTAGGAAATAATTTTTATTTCTTTCGAACTGGCTTCAGTGAGTCTTGTTACCCAAATTTAAGAGAACATGTACAGGTATGAAAGATTCCAAGTGAACTTTCTTCAGCTCATACACACATTTTATTCTTACTCATGAAGAACATGGACCACAGATGAAACATCAGATCAAAATCCCTACCCTTAGATTTTAATAAAAATCCAGTCTTTCCACTAACGTATAAACATGTGGGACCTACGGACCTTTTAAGTTCCACATAAGCTCATCAAAACGAAGTAGAAAAATAAAAACCTAGCTTTTCCTCTACTAGCTTTTCT